CCATTGTACAGTGGCATTCAATGCCGTAATGTGCACCTCTGCCTACCCCTTCGGGGATAAAAAGGCGTGGTGTTATTTTATGTTATGTTATTAACTAAAAATCGCGGGTTACTACTCACGTGAATATACTGAGAAAGGCTCTACTAGTTTCGTACCACAAAGGGGTTCTTGATTATGAACAGCGTGTGCGGTCGCGCCAATGCCGGCTGCGCGACGTCGTGTAAGTTGTCGATAGTTTAGTATGTCCACGATAGGTATTATAAAAACATAGATTTATATCTGATACTTTATTTAGGTATTAGATTATTAATTCTCAGTCATTTTTTTTAAATATCAAGCCCATTCGATGTCCCGGTTTTAACCTACATCATGTACTTTTTCACAGCTCCATGACGGTCAGTCAACGACCTCAGTATAATGCATGCTAAACTTAATCCTCCCACTACTTCTAAACAAGGAAACATTAATCAATCAATGGCAAATTGTTTGCAGAACATCCACCCTCATCTAGCAAAGACACATGTAAGGAGTCGACTGGGCAAGCTGGCGGACGGGAAGGATATTGATTGGGCCACCGCTGAGGCGTTAGCGTTTGGTAAGAACTATAGATCTTTTCATTTCGTTCGTAACCGATTAGAATGGGGGTCAAGCTTCATTACATTTCAATGTTTCTGTTCTCAGCAGTTAATATTAGAATCTTATAACAAAATATGGTAGAATATGTTCAATTTTAGATGTCTGTAAAGATTTCAAATAATAATATATTATTTATACATACATATATAACATCACGCCTTTTATCCCGGAAGGGGTAGGTAGAGGTACACATTCCGGCAATTAATGCCACTGTACAATGTAACACTCACTTTTCACTATTTATGTTATGAGTTCCATGTAAATTGAGGTGAATCTATTGCCATATATCGAGCACAATTCCAGACTCAGTTCTACTACAGAGGTTTTTACAAACCCAGTAATACTTTGCCCGATCCGGGAATGAAGCCCGAGATCCCTTACCGCACTTGCAACAACTCGATCAACGAGGCAGGCGGTCGGCAATATATTATTTATAGGTAGCCGATGAATTTATTGTTCTTATTGCTGCACAAAATGCTTTATAGCCAACCGCGGTGAATTGTAACCAGAATTATTTTATTGTCGTTGTTTATATTGCTGTAACGAAATTCAATAAATTCAGTACAATTATCAAAATACAACGAAAACAAACGTAACAGTAACCTAACCATTTCAGTTTAGGACAGAACTCAAAGAGATTACCAATTGATCCGTAATTGAATGGAATCAGTGGGTTTTCAATTAAATTGGATCGTCCCGTACGATATACACTTATCTATATCAAACCAAACATTGTTTCCGATACAAAATGTTTGTTTTTATAATAAATCGGTTGGTACTTTTGAGGAATTGAAATTGAAAAATGATTTTTTTTACTACAATTTTTCATCAACGAAAAAATGATGTCGTCGACGTCGATACGAACGTCAACAAATACAAATTATAGATACTGTTTATAGTATTGTAAGCTGAGAAATAATTAAACATTAATAATTATAGAAAATCACATTAACATAAGATACTAATAATAATAAATAAATGTTTAGTTGAATAATCCTTAATGTTATTGCAACTGAGTTTGTAAGAGAGAAGATTTATCGCAGCTTTAAGAAGGTGTCGTTCCTGTTGTGATTAAGTGAGAATTGGAGTCATCGATTGTTGTTTTCCTCTCGTACAAAGGAATTTCAGTACTATACTCATTAACCATGGAATCTGGCGCAACACGAGTTAGTTCGAGCTCTATGCAACGCCTTTGTATTCACTTTTTAACTGAAGAATTTACCAAAGAACGGTAGAACACGGTGCCCACGAAGGAAGTACAAATGGCGACCACGTAATGACGGTGATTTGGTATTTTAACTGAGATCGATCTAAATAAATAAGGGGCCACTACTGACCAAAGGCCTCTTCTCACACGGAGACGATTTAAGCATTAATCGCCACGCTTGCTCAATGCGGGTCGGCGATTTCGAACTAGCCTAGGTTTCCTCACGATGTTTTCCTTCACCGTTTGTCAGTGGTGTCTAGATAATAATCTTAGAAAGTACATATAACTCGGAAAATGTCATACTGATACTTGCCGTTGGTTCCATATAGCCATAGAAAAATGTCCATGATCTGAATAAATTCCTTACATTTACAGCATTTGACAGAGTACGGAAACTTAAGCAGCGAGTCTTTAGTGCAGTAGTGGACCTCTTATGGAAATATCATGATGTCACTAATAAAGACATCTTTGCCAAATACTTCACAGGCTCCCTCCTAATGGAAGGTCGTCACGTGCGTCTGAGCGGCGAGGATGTCGGCAGAGGCACCTTCTCACATCGCCACGTGATGCTGGTGGACCAGGAGACGGAAGCCATCCATATACCACTCAACCACATACATGAGAAACAGAAAGGTTTTCTAGAAGTGAGTATCATCATGCTAGAGAGAACGTACCAGTTATTTTACAATAGTTTTCAATTCTCGAATCTAATTTCAAAAATGACCTAATTCGTTTTACCTGCATGGAAACGCCTTTATTAATTTTAAAATGTGTGTGATTTATAAAGAGAATCATTAATTTAATATCACAAAAATACATAAAAAACGAAATTATCGTCGCACATATTTACCTACCCAAGGGCTCGTACACAAAACTTCGATGTGATGTCGCATCGCAAAAATGTGCGAAGTGGCTCTACGCATCGCAAGAATTTGCCAATAGATTCGCATCGCGCATCAAAATCTTATCTTCCTAAAATATTATTTGTTTCTTTTTCCTGTATCTCCTAAGCAATAACAGAAGAGCACATTTCTTTTTACAATCCATGTAACGACCTAGTTTTAGTTTAAAATATGTTTAAAGTCCAGTTGATGGTCGTCGAAGGAGAGGTCACACCTTGTCGCACGAAATCGCATTGCAGCTATTCGCATCGCAATTTTTGCGTTGCTAATTAGCAACGCATCGCATCGCAGTTTTGTATATGAACCCTATAAAAACTATTGTTAATACGAACGAAACGATACACCTCCTTTTTTCAGAATTTCATATCTATGAATGTTAGTACTAAATTACTATCACCCAATTAATTTCCTACACCATTCGTATTTCACATCATTGGTACCTACCCCACTCCCAACCGCAATGACAAATCCACGACCACACATCACAAACCACGATGCGATCCTCACACGACTGCACCTCCTTCCAGGTGGCCAATTCGATTCTGTCTGAGGAGGCAGTGCTGGCGTTTGAATACGGAATGGCGTACGACTCGCCGGATAATCTCTGCATCTGGGAGGCACAGTTCGGTGATTTCTACAACGGAGCCCAGATCATTGTGGATACGTTCATTGCTTCTGGAGAAGGTGAGTAGAACTGTAACACACCTTTGTCTAAAAATAAAATTGATCTAGAAATGCATATTGACGCATATAACTTAAAACTAAGGTTTTTAATAGTGTTGAAACAGAAAGGTTCACTTGTATAGATGTTTACATACTTACATACATAACCTCACGGCTGTCTCCCATGGGTGGGCAGACTTTGGAACGCCAATTGCTAACGATTTTAACTCGTCGAGTACCGTCATTATAGACACAATTATAGAACAATAGGTCGCGGTCACCGGTGACCGCTTGGTGTTTGACAGTTTAAAATGAAAATTTTTCTATTTTATTTAACTTGATGAAAAGTAGGAGTTAATTGTACATGTGTATGCTATTGTTTTTTAAATATTTCAGTACATTTTTAACCTGAAACACAGGCTTGGACCTAGTTCAGGTTTCACATATTTTTAGACTTTGTTTAGATATTAAGATTTATTTTGTAATCTGGCTTTTTACACCAAATAAACATTTTATTATTTTTATTATTATATTATTGTTACGCATTCATTAACTAGTCAATTTGTCATTCTATTTCGTTTACGAATTGATATTGGATATAATTTTTTATATTGGATATTGGATATAATTAAAACAAAGCAAAGTCTCTATAAAACGACAAGAAAAGTATCTGTATGTACTATCTCTTTTCCTTTCCTAAAAACCCTTTTTAAGATTTCAATTTCTTGCAGTTCAAGAATCTCATTTCGCCGTCCACCGCCTTCGTTTACATAACTTATTGTAGAAGAAAGTTTTCAATGTTATCGATTAATGTTTCCTTCAGCTGTCGCCTTCTCTCTGATGGATTAATAATAAAATAAATCTTTGAAAAATCATGAATAGATTTGTAAGGCATTGACGTGAATTTACTTCATTAATCTTGATTTGAAATCAATTGAGGTTGGGCGGGCATTGAAAGAATTTGTCATTTGAAAAGAAAAATGCTTTCGTCTATACTTCAAGTTCATATCGGATAATAATTTGACTTAATTTTAATGATGTCATAGTGGTTGGAATAATAGAAGCAAACATAATTCTCACTACACAGATTCGACTTACTTCTGAACCAGATAATTATTTGTATGATCTACAAATTGATATTTTAGATCTGTTATGCGATTTTTTTTATAATAACTATCGTGAGACATACTAAATTAACTAAAAGTTGCGGGTCACTCACGTAAATATACTGAGAAAAGCTCGTAGGCTGGGCAACATCGCTGCGAACGCGCACGCTGTTCATGAGGAAGAACTCCTCTGTGGTTCGAAACTGGTAGAGCTTTTCTCAATATATTCACGTGAGTAACCCGAGATTTTTCGTTAATCTGTTATGCGATATTCTCAAATGTAATCTTCAATAGTCGAACAGACGGAATCCTATTTTCTTACAATTCCATTAGATTTCATTGTCCATCAGAAAATAAACATTTTGTGTAACGAACAAATGCTATCAATACACCATAATTCATTTCTATTCAGCTAAATGGGTCCGCAGCAACGGACTAGTGATGCTCCTCCCCCATGGGTACGATGGTGCGGCCTCTGAACACTCCTCCTGCAGGATCGAAAGGTTCCTGCAGCTGACAGACAGTAAGGAGAGCACTCCTGACTCCGAGAATGTTTGTCTTCATGTAGCTAATGCTACTACACCGGCTCAATATTTCCATTTGTTGAGAAGACAGGTAAGTGGTTACTTTTGTTAAAATTACAGTATGTTACTTTTCTCTCATTATACTATCATGTATTTACGTCTAGTATAGTCAGCTAAAGTTCCTTCAAACAATACATACCTTACCTACACAGCTAAAGCCCGAATACTGAATGGCTACGAAATTTTAAGTCGCGCTTACATATAGTTCTGTCTCTACAAATTCTATGTAAAATGACAGAGAAGGCAAGATATTTAACGAAAATAATCACTTTAATACTATGTACTTAATCACTTATTGTACAGTAGGGTAGTGTCCTAATTTTTATTATAATGTCCGTCAGGTAGATTATTTTAAAACATTAGGCACGTATTTTTTTGTTTTCTCACAAAATTAACTGCTTTCGACGATTTATTGATTTGAAATGTCTTGTGACGCCACAGCGTGGTACAAAATGTACCACGTTGTGACGTAACTACCTTCAACACCTAAACTTATCGGTATTTTATCTAAGTATTGTAACTTTATACGAGAAAATATAAAAATACGTGTCTAATATTTTTTCATTATCTAACTGACGGTCTAATTAGATTTTTAATTTTCTTACCCTGGCCACTACCCTATTGTCTAACATAAATGTACGCGAGACACGTAGTACAAAAAGTATTAAAAGTAATTCATTTATAAAAATCCCGTTACAAAATAAAAAGATGTACGATCTTAGTAAATTACAAGTTTCCATGTTACCGTATAACTAACTGAACGAGGTTACGTGAGCTCGTAAGATTAATATGAAAACTCACAAGTTGGCAGAAAACCTTTAAGGCTATACAAGCCTTGTAATTTATTAGTATCATGCTGTATACTACATAAAGAAAATATAAGTTAGTTAATGTTTTAATTAGCAAATGCTCAAATAGGTACAGATACTATTACATTACTGTCCGATTGTGTCAGGGACTAGAAATTTCGGACCTGGGATTTAAAAACAGGTTTCAGTTACCCGTACTAGTAGGTAGGTACCTACTTTAAGTGTGGGGGAGCCATGCTTCGGCACGAACGGGCCGGCTCGACCGGAGTGATACCACGGCCTCACAGAAAACCGACGTGAAACAACGCTTGCTTTGTGTTTACTTACTAGGGGCCCAATGACCTCCTCCCCCTTACCCAATCTCCCCAAACCCTATCCCCAACAAATTCTCAAATTCATGATTCCGAAAAGGCGGTAACGTATTTGTAACGCCTCTGGTGTTCCGGGTGTCCATGGGCGAGGCCGATTGCTTACCATCAGGTGATCCGTCTGTCCGTTTACCGGCTTATGCCATTAAAAATAATCTCTTGTAAATAGGTACAGATACTATTACTCTTCGACTGTGTCAGGCACTAGAAATGTCGAACCGGGGATTTGAAATCAGGATCCAGATACGTTTACTCCATACCTACCCCGATCTATTTAAGTCATCTTAAGTCTCAATAAGCGATTTATTTACCTAAACTACATCCAAATTAATTTATTTCCAGATGGTGAGAAATTATAGAAAACCTTTGGTAATAGCTTCACCGAAGATCTTACTGCGACTAGCCGACGCTGTGTCGAATATATCAGACTTCGCGCCTGGGACACACTTCAAGAATGTTATTGGTAAGACCTTATACTGTTCCCAATTTTTATCACAATTCTGTATATCGCCTGATATGTATCTCTATGATATAGACTTTAGATAATTATTACTGTCGAACTTATACTATTCAGATCGATGTTAAAGGCATGCAATGCATTGCATGTGGTCAATATCGGTCATATCTTCAACGTTGGTATCAAATTACGAAATAGAAAAGATACAAAATGAATGACCAAGCTAAAAATGTTTTACGAAGAATAAAGATGAAGTAGGCGTAACTAAACAGGAAAACGCAACCCTTTTCCTAAGTTCTTGTCAAAAGATGGAATTGTTTAGTATACCCGGACAAATAAACCAACAGCTAAAGTTATTGAGTTACTAACAAACAAACAAGTTGATTTATAAATGCTTATACATGAATGTAAGGAATAGGAACCATATTGTTGATGAAAGGAAATAACTGTTTGTCCCTTTATTGTGCCTGAATTTCTTGATACAACTTGGTCTGGCCTTGCTTGTGTATTTATGAATATGTTTTGGTTGACATACTTCTAATGAGTTACATACACAGACCCATAAATAAACTGACGCACAATAATATTTGTCATTTGTTATGTAGAAATCATACAACAAAAATAGAGAATACGATACCCATTTCTTATCGTAATTATTGAGAGCTTCATTTAAGACGATGAAGCAACTAAGTTTGTGTTGCTATTAATTCAAAATAGATTAAAATCCCATCAATACATTATAGGTTACTTGCATAACGACATACTGTGCTAACTGCTATCTATTTTCATCTTTAAACCTACCAACGATACAGTCCACTTTACCATCCATCTACATCATCTTGCTATTCTTTCCAGGTGATCCCCTAGCTGACCCGCTGAAGGTAAAGCGTGTGATCCTGGTCTCTGGCAAGCATTACTATGAGCTTCAGAAGGAAAGGCTCCGAGCCAATATAGATGATGTTGCCATTATAAGGGTAGAGGGCCTGGCACCCTTCCCTTTGCACGACCTTCAGACTGAACTACAAAGATTCAAAAATGCTAGAAGTAAGTCGTGTTTTAGATTTATTCAATCCGTTATTTGTGGAAACCATTTCGAAAACGAAAGCGTAACTAAAAAAATAGTTATAGAATGTCAATGTGTACCAATTATTTTTCTAATCTCATTATTCGAGAAAGCCTATCGCAAGACACTGTCAGAACTATAGATATAAAAATAATAATTACTGAGAATTTTGAAATCCTATAATCTAATTATTTCTTTACTCAATCTGAAATGGAAACGGAGACATCATGATATGCAGTTAATTTACGATCGATCAACGAGACAGGCATAACTTGTGAAGCTGCGGACAACCTAACGGGTTACCGGGGCTTTTTTTCGAGGGGGAAAAGTCATCAATGTCTTGGCTTCTCTCGCCCGGGTGAAACGAGAAGGAGTGTCAGACTCTTACTGACTCAAAACCACCCCGTTCCTGCTCCTGCACTTCGAGCCGGAACCCCGGCAACCCCTCCGCGGCTCCGTGTCGGCATCAGCCCTAATGGGCCACATCTGTGGTGGTCTGATGGCTCCTTGAGGCGCGTGCGGAACACGACGCTCCTTACGCTCGGGCCTGGTTCTGGTCGGGCGGCGAGTTACCCGTGCTCGCCGTCCGTAAGCCTTAGCTCAAAGCAGTAGTAGGAACGGGGTGGTTTTGCCGGACCCTCTGTTTGGTACCTAGGGAATAAATCCTACAATGACTAAGCAATAATTACTATAGAAACATCAAGTAATCTATTAAGCTTGGTCATGTTTTGCAACTGCATTCGTACCGTGCTTGCAAAACTGTCAATGTGGACAGAACGTGACGACTGATGTGTACGTGACACAGTGTTGCATTAGAATAAAACAAACATATTTTGTCACGAATTTTATTCCCAAAATGCTACGCAGAAATGCATATATTTTACAACAATAATTTTTAACTAATAATGTTACCATGCAAACATGAGGCGAGCGTTTGATGATACACCGGGGAAAATTGATATGGCGCGCGCGGAACGCGAAGCACCATACGCTCAAAGAGCCATTTAGACCACTACAGATGAGGCCCAATAGGGCTGATGCCGATACAAAGCCGCGGAGAACCTAACGGGTTACAGGGGCTCCGACTCGAAGTGCAGGAGTAGGAACAGGGTGGTTTTTAGCCTGACACTCCCTCCCGCCTCACCTAGGCGGGAGAAGTCATTTTGTTAAATTAAAGGCGTATTCACTGGTTTAATTACAATAAATCTTTATTATACCGGTACTCGTTACGATGTTTTTACAGACATTGACATTAGAAAAGAAAAAGGCGGGAGATAGAAAAATATTACAAGTAGCCAAGCGTGAGTTGGCGTCATAAGGCGCGAAATTCAAATTACATTTTTTTTAATTTTAACACTCCCCTTGAATTCGAGCCTTGTTAACTAGTTACAAACAAAAATAATAAAATTTTAATAATGTTCCTATCAAATTCTATATCAATAATAAGATATATAATTATGTAAATTTACTTTAACAAATTAAGTACATGGACACATTCCAAGATTGGATCTTAAAAATTGAAACTTGTGTTTAGACAATGCTTTGGTTAATATATCAGCAAATTGGGTGTCACTACTGACATACTTTAAATCTATAACCTTCTGCTGATATTTTTCCTTAATGAAATGATATTTGGTATCTATGTGTTTACAACGTTTATGGAAATTCACATTTTTAATAACACTGATTGCACTTTGATTGTCTAGATGAAGATATAGTATATCCTGTGTGTATTCTCCAATTTCAGACAAAAATTGTTTGAGCCACATCGCCTCTTTAGTGGCAGCACAGGCAGCCATAAACTCTGCCTCCGTCGTGGATAGGGCCACAGTTGGTTGTCTCTGACTGGCCCATGTTACAGCGGCTCCATTTTTCATAAAAACATAGCCGGTAACTGATCGACGGGTGTCGAAATCGTTTGCATAGTCGGCATCACTATAGCCAGTCACTTCTGAGGGTTGTGTGGTGTTAGTGTAACACAAGCCATACTCCTTTGTGTCTTTCAAATATTTTAAAATCCTTTTAACTGCATTCCAATGTGTTTGGTTGTAACTATTAAGGAATCGACTCACCAGACTGACAGCAAACATGATATCAGGTCGACTCACTATGGCCAAATGCATGAGAGATCCCACAGCTTCTCTGTATGGTATGTTCTTCTCAGGCTCGCCTTCTCCCTTTTGTAACTTCATGTGAGGGTCGACTGGAACAC